TTACTGCGGTCCGCTTTTGTGGGTGCTGGTGAAACTACAGGCCCATGGGTCTTATCAATTTATGTCTCAGGGTGACAGCAGCAGTACCCCTCACATCCTTGTGAATTAAAGTTCTGAGTGGCACTGTAACTGTTATGGACAGGCTTTTCGCTCACCACCAGGCGTACGACTTGTTCGTCCCGTAACTTTGTATCATAAAAAAAATGAATAAGGCAATTATTCTCTCCTAAAAGTAATCATTATATATCGAAATAAATGCTTGTCCATAAATATCATTTTGACACAATTAGGCAACGGGAAAATGATGATCCCAACCGATTTAACCTGACAAACACAAAATGGTTCACAAGGCCAAAATCCGATAGTGCGTCTACGATTAATTACCGTCATCCAACTGATTAAACGTTACTAATCGTACTGAGATAAAGCAATAATTGTTCATTTCACCGCTCTCTTGTGAGCTTATATATAAAGGCCTATTCGATATTAGGTCAGGGGGTCGATGCAGAAACTTAAGATAACTCAGTTGTTGACCGATTTCTTTTCATTTTTATTCACAACACCCGACTCGAACGTCAAACTGTAGTATTCGAAACCGAACCAAGATGACGTCACATCCGTACGATTACTCGAACTTCTCGACCGGCAAAGGCTACAAATGTTATTAAGAACACAGTTATCGAATAAAAGTTACCGACCGACCTATTCTTTACAAAGCAAGAGTGGAATATGGAAATCTCTTATTATTTTAAATAAAGTTTGGATTTTGTTCAATTTTATTAATCTAAATTAATGCAAGGCTTAAAAATGCAAAAAAAAGGATTTTCATTTTTCTTATAATCTATTTCACCGATACAGTTTTTGCACAGTAAGCATTAATTTAAGTTGTCTACGGACTGATAACAATAGATTCCCGTAAATCACGCTAATTTGGTTGCCACAACATTTACGCGAATTTGATTGGGCCACTAAATTACCGAAATGGAAACTATAATAGACATTATCGGTTGATGATTTTAAGATTTCTGTCAGTCGTGACCATGGGGTCAAAAGATAAAAGATCCGAAACAATGGTTTGTTTTAAAAAAAAACAAATGTACACGATTTAGATCTAAAAATATAGTTTCAGTTCTAATGTAACAACAATCGTGTAAAAGTTAAAACTTGATAAAGAGATATTTACGACATGTATCAGACTCCTGCACACTGGGGAGGCTCATGAACGTCACAAATAATGTCATTAAGGTGGTGGCGATCTAATGGCAGGCTGATAAAATGTGACTGGTCGTCGAAACGATGGACGGAGATAAATAGAAGGCGAGAAAGACGCTGCAGTCCATCTTGTAGATGTAATATACGAATAGGCCGAGGTCGTGGAGTAAAAGCCTGTCTTCTTCAAATCACTTTTTGTACTTTCCATTATACTTCGAAAACCCATGTACATCAAAATGTACTAGGTATGTGAAGCATAGACACATATCTAAATAGACATCGCAAGTACCGCTATCTGTATGAAAACCAAGCGTGCCACATTTTTGTACCTCCGATGATGTCACGAGCGCTATTTAGTGATGGGAAACCTCCTTCGACACGAAAGCGATTGATTAAATCGAAGACGCGAACGCAGCACGTATTTAGATTAAAGATATTTAAAGTATTTGTTGATTACAAGAAAACGTGAAATGTTAATATCGTAAAATAATACCAGAATAAGATAATTAAGTCCTTTATTAATATGTGTTTTGAAAAAAAAACTTGCTTTGGAAAACTAAAAACTATAACAACACACTTTGTAGAATTTATATAATTTTTTATAACATTTTTTAGGGTCTTGACATGGTCTTGAGGATTATCATCCCTTTGTTTCCTAAATCGAAACAGTGTTGCATATGACAAAGTAGCCGTACCACGAAACTGAATGCATTTTATATGAAACTATCGCTGTTCGATATTCATAGCCTACTATAGAAGGTCCAAAAGCATACCTCACCAAGTAAAAGCCGCAATGTATTACGAATCATGCTGCATGCACTTGTTTGTAAATAAAATAAATAAATTTTTTCTCGAAATTAATTCAAAATTAAAATAAGTTATTTTAAAATAATTTACGCATATTCTGATTACAAAGTTACTTAACTGTGGAAGGAAACATCCCTGTTTATTCATCTATTTATAGCTGTGGCGTTTTTGCAGTTTCTAATGGCACAATTAGGCATTTTTTCGTTTTCGACTGATGAACTACGGTAATGGCCGGGAGCGTTCTGAAGCGTAGCAGCGGGCACGCGAAGTAGGCACGAAGTAGGTAATCTGTCTAGATATGTCTGCGAGGTGAACTGATTTAGACCCAGATAATATTATTCCTATATCACGCAAATACTCAATATTTATTTTTTTCAAAATAAAAAACCATTTAGTCTTCACACTCTTAAACCTACATAGGTTTGTCTGAGTGTTGCAACTTCTCTTAAACAAACTACTCTTATAAAACACGAATTAATAATAAAATAGACACGAAGGTACATACAAATAACAAAAATCTTATTCACTAAAATGATTCTCGCCATCGAGCTTGAATCGCCAACAACGCAGAAAACCGGTCCCGCTTCCAACGCCAGCGAACATACAGGCTGCTTAATTAGAATAATACCAACGTTAATTTTTTTTTAAATTTTATTAAATGCATTTTATTTTTATTTAATCAATTTTGTGTATATTCCTACTAGTAATATATATTTGCATAATATTTGACTATAATTTTAATTTTTAATTTCTAACTGGTGATACATAATATTAGGAAAAGAAATATTTTTTTAGAGTATACTTTATATTTTTTGGGTTCACTTGTTTTTTAAGATGCAATGGTAACTTATTTAACAATCTAGGAACCAGGTAATCAGTTGTACGCTCTCCATAAAAATTACGAGCTCCTATAGTCATGACAGCCTCTTGCGTGACCTGACGAGTCTCTTTACCGAATTCTTTATAATTTTGATTAAAATTAAAAAAGTTTTCCGTTAATAAAAGCATATTGATTCTTTCTTGTAGGTACTGGTAGTACTTTGCAAAAATTAAAATTTTTTATATCATCATCTTTAAATTTTTCTTTAATTTTAGAAGGCACAAGTTGTTTGAGGATTCTGAGTTGAAGACTATAAATCCGATCAATATACGTTTTAAATGTACGCCCATAGCTGCTTAGACCGTAACATATAATACTCTCAGCTAATGCTTTATATAGTTGCAATCTTACGGTGAATGGCACTTTTCTCTTTAATAGGTACAGTTTAGCCATTATTGCTCTTAATTTTGTGCAAATATAATCAAAGTGAGGACCCCAATTAAAGAGGTTATCGATAGTCATACCGAGATAAGTGTGGTGAGCTACCTGTTCATAGAACAGGTTTGCAACTACAAGCCGGTGGATTGTCATGCAAGCACTGATGATCATGAGCAATCATTTGGTTAATCACCGCGTTATTGTGGCTGGAGTGTATATGAAGCCATTTAGTGTTGTCGGCGTTAATAACCAAGCCGGCATCGTGAGACCATTTACAAATTGACGTAAAATCATTCTGGAGATTTTCCAAAGCAGTTGCAGCGTTCAGGTCATCCGATATTAGACACGTGTCATCTGCAAATTGAAACACTGTGCTGTTTTCTATGACGTTATTAATATCGTTAACATATGTCAGGTAATGTAATGGGCCCAAAACTGAGCCTTGAGCAGTGCCCTCCGTAACGCTGACTGCATCACTGCAAGCACTACCTATTCTAACACAATAACTACGCTCACGAAGATAATCCTCACACCATCGAAGCAATATCCCTCTGACCCCACTATTGTCAAGTTTTTCGATAAGTGTACTATGACGCAAAGTATCAAACGCCTTGCTGTAGTCTATGAAAACTACCAGCACGTGTCAATTATATTGAAAATATCGCATTTAAATTTAAAGTTATATAATATTCCATGTGACCATAATGTTATGAATATATATATTATAGAAAAACAGTACAAACAGAATTTTAACTTAATTATATCACAAATTGAGCTACGCCTTTGACTCTCTATCCGATCTATATTAAGATAGGACTATCATAATCTTCCCGCGATAGCATTTAGAATGTTTTTAGGACCTTGCCTCACACGGCTCAACAGCGAGATTATCTTTTTTCGTGTGATGATTTTCTCAATAATAAAATGTTTCTCACATATTTATTTCCATACATATTATTATTAATTGTTCATCATCATCGTTTTCGATATGACGTAAACTTGGAAATAATTTATTTCTTACGCAAAAAATTCATCAAATTTATCTTCAAGGTTGATTACCAACGTTAATGTTACTGCAGCGTCGTACAGGCCCGGTCGTAGAGGGGAAAGAATATAAAATATAGTTGTACAGTGCCCCATAACATAATAGGGCATAGAATAAGAAAATAAGAGCAAGTAGGGCAAGTCTGCAGTTTGGCTTTGAATTTGTAGCCAAGCGTTATTTTGATATTCATATTATTTCATATTATGATAAATGATTTATTTATATATTTCATTATTCATGAAAAAGAACATTTTGTTTTTTATTATCATGCACAATAAAAAAAGAAAAATTTAGTTATATTTACAAATTTCAAATGACGAGTTGTATGACTCAAGTAGGTATACTAAGCCATGAGAAAACCAATACAGTTAGGGTCAGCATGGGACTCATTTTGCCGGGAAATTAATTTAAGAGAATAAAATAGAATAGAAAATAATTTCATCGACGAAGGCAAAAATACTTTCAACAAAAGGTAATAAATAACATGAAAAAAAAAGAGAAAAACAGAGCAAGACTTTGTCAAGCCTTGGGCTTGACAAAGACAACCAACCATTGTATGCTACTCTGCATGCCTCGCCGAAAAGGTCACCATCTCAGTTTCAGTTGGCAACCTTGGTCGATGTCGCACGGATGTGGGTTTATCAATATATGTACAATAAAATTAAAATAATAACAATTCTGCCGCCAGACCTGGCATCACGCTACGTAGAAACACTGCGTTCATGAAACAACAACATACTCTTTCATTAGGCATAAAATAATAAAATGTACCTTGTAAGCGCAGCCTTATTCCTTATAGCCCAAAGTAAGTAAACTTTTACTGCAATTACGTTAAAAGTACATTAACTTCTAACACGTTCCCTGTCCATGACTCCATTAGGAGTTGCAAATTGGTTTCACACATACATCCACTCGGTCCTATAGACTTGTATGGTGTATTGTTCAATGTCTAATATGTTTAGAATAAAATTGAGTATAGGTTTTGAATTGTTTTATTATACTCATGAATCATGAAGTTGGAAATACAATCTGCAATTTTGTTCGCAATGCTCTCTGTTTACGATAAATAAATAACTTAAATGTAATTTGGCTAAAAAGAGTAAAAGCCGTGGTAGCCTAATGGTTAGAATCTGGGCTGCGAGACACGTGAGTTTTTCGGAATTTATGTGCGAAATATAATTTGAAATTTACACGTCATGAAATCATCACATGATGAAATCTGCACGTCAAAGAAGGTTCACAACCCTCGGAAAACGTGTGAAGTCCTCAACAAAAACTAAAACCCTCGACTGAGAGGAGACCCGGGCCCAGTAATGGGACGTACAAATGTGTTGATGATGATGATGAAGTTATTGGCTTACAGGTATGTGAACAGGGTATGCGTTAATAATAGTTTTCAAAAACTGCTACTGCCTCGGTGGTCGAACGGTTACCATGCCGGACTGCCATGCAGAGGTCCCAGATTCGATTCCCGGGCCGGGAGAAATATTTGTATGGCCTACATTTATTTATCTCGTGAGTTTGGGTGTAATTTGTGATTGTCTATGTGTATGTCCATGGCACCCATGACACAGGGTTTCCCTAGTGCGGGGATAGCCCCGCACACAATATAGCTTTAGTGTGTGCGTTATTATTATTATTAAAAAAATTATCACGATACTGAAGTATTTATCGTGACAGTGCGTAATAAATATTCATCACAGTATTCTCTTAGTATTACCATTACTGACAATATGATACTCCTCAGCGTAGCTCTGTTTTGAGCTTAAATTAATATTTATGGATATTTTTTTTTCAACAGCGTTCCATGTGGTTTTAACTGTGAACCTTTGTGACGAAATAAAGTGTTCTCATGTTTACGACCCTGTCTGTGGTATTGTCAAAAAACCAGGTGACACTCGAATAGTACGGGTGTATCAAAACATTTGTCATTTGAAGAAAATCCAGTGTAAAATTGAAGCCAATTCAGGTTAGTGATAGATTACAAGGCGAGTTAGATATTTTTTATACCTTAAATAAATTATATTTATCTATACATTTTGCGAAGTATCACTCAGGAAAAAATGTGTTGGCAAAGAGCCGATAGTGGTGTTTAGTTCCCAATAACGTCATGGAACGACGTAAAGGTTTTTCCATAAGAAAGTTTTAAATAGAAAACTACCATAAGACTCAGACATCAACTAAACTAACGGATTACTCACGTATTTAAGTCGAATTCTTGTTCGACATTTTATCGTTTTAAGTTGTTATTGGCATGGCACTTCAAAATGATTTGCCCTTTACAGTTCCACGACAATAACAACTTTGTTATGGGAACTAAATACCTCTGCCGGCTCTAAACCAACAAAGTTATTTTCTGTGTACATGCTTCCTCAGTGAATATATGCTCCATATTACATATATTAATTAGTACAACTGTTTAAGTTACCTACCAACAACAACAATCGTCTTAGTCAGAACACTTCATAACAATTTCTTATAAAATTGACTTAAATAAGATATAAAATATAATGTCCCCATTGACAGAAGTCCTTCAAGCGGTACCGGATGAAATTTGTCACTTAAACAGGGTATTGACAATGACTGGACAAACTCGTCGGTTGGAAGACCATAGCATAGTTGGGGCTTACCAAGCGTGTAACCACACCTGCCCCACTTTTTGTGTTGATACATATGAGCCCGTTTGTGCTCAGATTTGGAGAGAAGGCATGCAAAAGTACTTTTTCAGACCAATGGTCAACCACTGTCATGTCGATTTGGTGTCATGCACGCTGGCTGTCAGTGAGTCCTTTGCTACTAATTATATGTTTATTTACTCTTCTTTTCTTTAATCATCAGCCCTTTTATACATCCTGCTGCTGGACCCGGGTCTCCCCTCGGGCGAGGGTTTAGGCCATAGTCCGCCACGCTGACCCAATGCGGGTTGGGGACTTCATACGTCTTCCGAGGATTGTGAACCTTCTTCAACGTGCTAGTTTCATCACGATGTTTTCCGTCACCAAAAAATAGTAGTAGTAATTTAAATTTCGCACATAAATTCAGAGGAGCGAACCCAGATTCGAACCCACGACCATCTGCTTGAGAGGCAGTAGGTCAAACCATTAGGCTACCACGGCTTTATACTCTTCTTTTGCCTGGCCTTATTCCCATTTATTTGGGGACGGCTCTTCTGGTCACTCTTCTCCAAGACGGTCTGTCCTAGGTGGTCTGTGGTTTCAATTGTTGCTATCGCAGATCTTTATTAACAAGGGATATCCAGATGAGGCGGGGTCTACCACGTGTCTTGGCCTGGCTACTCATGTTTCTCATACATATTTATTTACTACTACTTATAATGCACATATTGAAAAAAATAACAGCACATTGTTCATTAAAAAAATACTTTTTACACTGTGTTTAGTAAATATTTCTTGAGTTTTTAAGTGTTATCTTAGAAAATACCACGTATATGATATTTAACTACAGTACTGACACGCTACGCCACGTGATGGCCGTTTTGACAGATTATAATAGTGAGGTCAAATCTTAACTCATTATCGAAAAAATTATAATCAAATGCGAGTCGCATCTATAAGTTTTCAGGTTTATAACTAGTATTGCAAGGGGCAGCTGATTAAAAAGTCTTAATAAAACGAAAATAGAAATGTTTAGTTAATATATCGTCAATTCGGAACTGCTTTGTTTTGCATTGAGCTTTGACACGAGTTTGCCAGAGATAGAAGTTGTGCTGGACAGCGATCATTTAAGTGACGATCGTATTAGATTTCATTTTTTTAAATTTCATATTTCGAAAAACAAATGCCGAGTTGTGTCGTGCATCCATAAATTTTACTTCGCGTCACTATTGATAACAATGTACAGCAATTAGCTCCTTCAAAGTAGTTATGAATTAATACGAAACTTGATAGGCGGACAGACGTCAAAACGGCCATCATTGCGTGCCGGTATTGTAGTTGAACTGTACCTCTTTTCCAATGTAATATATTACCTTTTACTCTTAATTACATATTACCCTTATTATAATAAAGCCACATGTGATTGTATGTGAAAAGTGCTTTTATCTCAGTCTTAAAATAATGCTTACAGTATAAAATATTATTTTGTGACGCATTGGTGTTGTATATACTGAATTATTATTATTATTACTTTTTCCGTAATAGAGGTTATTGGAAAAAAAAAGTCTAAGCATGTCGAATTTAATTAAATAAAACATCAAAAATGACATGATTAAGAACTCTTGCCTCCTAGGGAGAAGGCTGAGGTTAAATTTGAGTGGAGGCTGCACCGTAAATCTTAGATTTGCACTGATAAACCTACATAAAATAAAGCCACATTGTTATCATACGTCAAAAGTGTTTTTATAATATAAAAGTCATAAAAATAATACGAACTAAATGAAACAAATTATGTATTATGTTAAATTTTACAACTCTCCAATTTAAGCTAAAAGTTATCGACCAGTAGGTCTAGCGCACGGAAGAAAGAATTTATGTGGTCTGTGGTCTTGCGCGACATAAAGCTCGGGATTGCTATGCGAGAATAGCAGTATAACGCGCTTTATATCGCTCTCGCGCAAATCGCGCTCTATTGTGATAGGCCGACGGCTTCGTTCGAAGAATCTTATAACCTCTCTTCTGAAAATTCGGAATTTAATAGATATGACTTGATTATAACTACAGGTACTATTCAAGCAAGAGATTTGTAAGTTTTATCCCAATAAAAATCAGTAAAAACAATCTTTGTAATAATGCGTAACTATGGCAACGATAATGCAATAACCTATTATAAATAAATCCCTACCTTTGTGATCCTGTACCTCTGTCATCCAATCAACTTCACAAGTGCCATGTACAACAATTACCTATCTATTGAAATTTTATTTCAGATGTAACTATACAAGCCTTGGGAAAATGTTATAAAAATCCCACTGGTCTCATGTTTATGTCACAGATGGCTGCTCTTAAGTCTATGGATCTATTGAGCGATACGCGCGATGACGATGAAGAAAACAATGCAGATGAATATAATAGACTCAAAAGCAAAACCTCAAAGCTAAAAGCAAAACATGCATCTTTAAAAACTCCGTTAACTTCAAAATTTTCGTATGGATGATTTTCTCAGTACCTAACACCGTGCATTATAAGAACATTTCGCGTACATATATAGGAAGGAAGTCACTAAATCTACCAACGCAGAATTGACTCGAGCCATTCAGAAAAATATTAATTTCCACCTGACGGAGATCAAATGCAAATTAAATTGATTCAATTTATATGAGTGACGATGAGGTCGACAATTCAGTATGCACACCAAAATAATGCCGGTTGACTCTCGCCGTGATAACGCCTAAGTTTATAGCGTTTATGCGTTAATGCTTGGAATATCCAAGGATTTGCACGTCGTTTTTGCTCTTATTACATTGACACGAAGCTTTTTCTGACCAGCTTAATATATTGCAAAGTGTGATGACTTCCATACTTAAAAACAAGCACACAGTAAGTAAGTTTTTTATAAGCACGATCTGCCCAAAATCTAACTTCTCTCATTTTCACACAATCTACGTAGAATAATTAAAATAAATTCCTATGACATAATAATGTTTAATTTAATTATAATGATAAGATGTTCGTTATTTCTTTCATCTTCTCCCAATAAAACTGGACTAAAACATAATTAAAAATGAAATTTATTCAGACAACTAGATATAGACAATAGTTTGTTAACATTTTACTTTAGTACACGTATTTTACACAGGACAAATATGATTAATTAAATGTTAGAATAATTGAGCCCTTATTTCCTACGGCTACCATCATCAGGAGGCTGTTAGTCCTGCATGTATTCTAGTAAAAAGTGATGCCAGTTTCTTCCGCAATACAGAATTAAGGCGAGTTACCGATTCCTGTTTTGCTGGATCAAATGGGTTAGGTATTTACAAATAAATAACGGTCTTATTAAAAATACTCAATACACATAACGATATTGTCTAAAGAATGAGCTAACTCGTTACACGTTAGTATGTACTTGACTCGATCATATAAAATCACGAAAACTGTCTAAAATAAAAGTCTATAATGACTTATTTGAGAATAAAATCTCTGTGGTTATTAAATTCACATTTATCCCAAAACTTGAAAATTACCAAGCTATTTAACGACACACCGCGCCGCCCGCTGCCCCGTTCGTCGCCATCTGGCGCTCGTCAACGTCGGATCTGTGTCAAATGTTCTCCGCCTGTTCGTATTTTTTTCCATTTTATTTGTATTAATTTTAAGCGCATAGATTGCGGGACGCGAGGGGCGCTCCCTCACACCTCACCTCCTAAAATACCTCGCCTTAAAGCCATCCATGCGCGCTTTCGCAAACGTGGTGGACGCACTGTAGAAACGTGGCAGCGCCTACAGCTGAAAGCATTATTGGACTGGACGAGCGGGCGCTGCGAACAGCTCGTCTTCAGCGCACCCGATTACAGCGAATTCGATGTTGTATTTGACTAGATCGAATGTCTTATAGGAAATAATCAACGATCGAAAGTGTAAAAGTTGTCAAAATACAAAATGGTGGACATAAGCTAGTCCAATAAGTTCAATAGACTTTGACATACGTTTTACATGTGAGCTGCTTCGATCTAATAGAAACGTTTCAAAATCTCAACATAAAATGTTAACATTAGTTGATTAATGAGATGATGACAGCTAATGAATCCTTTAATAATAATTTAGATGGCAATCTATCTAGTACAATTATATCAATGTAGACGAGCGGCATTAATCGTCGAGTTAAAATGACCGGTAGAGCGAACTCCCGCTTGTCAGTTGCAATAACGGCCTTTTTCGTCGAATTAGCTGAAGGGCTGTTGCCTTTCAACTAATTTGCTGAGCCTTTTACATTTTGAATTTTCACTGTCGCATCATAAACAATATCCAACAGTTTACAAGTATGCTCTTAATGAACTTTGACGAACAAAGCATGGGAAGTAAATAACTTTGTACCAGTAGAACTCCTTGTGAAAGAGTTCGTTCAAGGAAGTACTATCATGACAAGAGGTAATGTGAGCATAACTGTGTTGCGGTTTGAAAGGGCAACGGTGCTGGTGAAATTACAGGCACATAAGACTTAATTGTCAACTTATGTCTCAGGGTGACGGCGTAGTG